CTCTTTTACCAACGAATAGTGGGATTGACCGTCACATTACAACACCCCCACAAACAGAACTCTTCGAAAAGTTGATTTGCTTTATCCTTCGGTTCATAAAGAACTTGTTAAGAGTTAATTACTTTAATGAGATTCGACTGTAATTTATTGCTTAAATTTTAAAAAAATTATTTAATGTTTATAATTCAATTATGTACCTAATGTCTCAGATTTTAATATAAGTATGAACTAACTAAACATGAGCTAACATTTCCGATCAGCGATATCTGCAAACTAATACTTTTATATTAAACTGTGAAAAACAAAAGATGCACCCAACTTGAATATAAGTATAATATAATATATTATTGAATGTAATATAAGAATCAAAGTATTTGAAATAGAAAGTAATTTTTGTATCATTTGGAATACACACCATATATTTTTCTTTCATAAAAAAAGCTTATGAATTTTCAGTCAATTACCAATACAATAAACACATTATTTTGAAAGCATGCCTTTGTAATACATTTCAGAAAAATAAATACATAAATAAGTTGACAAAATAAACGCTTGAGGAAATGTCATTTTTGCGGACAATTATAACTGACATAAATATATTGTAAATATACCAGTTTAAAATTGTATTTAATTGTTTATTATAACTGACATAAATATATTGTAAATATACCAGTTTAAAATTGTATTTAATTGACAATTATAACTGACATAAATATATATTGTAAATATACCAGTTTAAAATTGTACTTAATTGTTTTACAGATATCAGATAATAACTATATTCATCTCTTTTCAACCTCGGTAAACATAGATCCACGTTTCGAAAGAGCTTGACGTGTCCAAGTGCTGTCTAAGGATAAAATAGTAGGGTAAGGACATTGACTAACAGTTCCTTCATCGTCCAAACACTAAATTTTCCACATCTCTTGAATAGAAAATTTGTCGCGAGTGCATTAATATGGAAATATGAGTGTAATATTTCCTTCACTTTAAAATAAATATGTTTTACTTCCCTTGGAGACACTATACATTTTATAGATCAGAATGGAAATGAAACATTCTATGATTATAATTAAAAAAAACACGCACAAAAACAACCTTTTGGCAATTATTACAGTCCCCGTTTACCACCACCCTACCATGCAATTTATATAATGAAATTCTTAATGTATTACCTCGCAGCTGTTGGAGTAGTGAAATATTATTTAACTTGATTAAAATTAGCGTTGAATAACAACGAAAAATACTTCTAAAGTTTATTTGTTTGTAATTAAGCACAATGGTCTATTTGTGCTCCGCCCACCACGGGTATCGAAACCCGGATTCTAGCGTTGTAAGTCCGCAGACATACCGCTGTGCCACTGTGGGGCTACTTCTAAAGAAGTATATCTTTATGGTAAAAATAAAATAGGTAATGTAACGTCGTGTTTTCAAAGTTTTGAAGACCTTAAATTACTTTATCATAATGGCATAATTTGATTTTCTGTTACTGCTATGGGAATACACGCTTTCTGAAACGTGGTTTTGCTTGAAAACACTTCCATTTATTATATTCCTTTCATAGAACCTCGTCATTTTCTAGAAACGTCAAACAGTTCTACGAATACCAAATGTGAAGTTAAGTTTAATGATTGCTACATGTAGGCCTGTACTTGTCAGATGTAAAAGAGAACTGTTTCAATCACTAAGAACAAACTAGAACGTTCTTGATGTATGTTTCTACAGCAACCGGAACGATTTCACGCAAAACTACACGCATTGCTGTCCCTGATTTTAAACTGATAAACTCGACTGATCTAATAGTGGGTCTATTTATTGCGAAACGACGCTTTCTTACAGCACTGGTTAGGAGTCCTGAACCTTTAGATTACGAGTCCAGACACAATAACCACTAGGCCACGCCTGGTTCCTCCAGCTGCACAACATATCTGATTGACACACAGTAGTTATACTTGGCGCAGTCCATATCGACTGCAAATTTTATGATATAATTACTTTAAAATTTTCTTAGAATTTGAAAGTGATTTCTCACTTGTCAATATGAGGTTTATTGTTGTAAATACAATTCAGTTATCACTCATAGTGTTCAATCCAGATAGAGGAAACGTGAAATATATTAATGCTCTTTATGAAGTCTGCTGTTTGGAGGAGACAAAAGGATTTTTCTGGAGTCGTAATGTATATGCCACTGAGAGATCTAGGCTTTACTAATATATATCAGTTCTTGGAAACTGGGAGCATGGTGTACTTCCTCAAGGAAGAATATCTATCAAGGTGATAGCTGTAATATTGCTCAATGCTAGAGTGGTTAATTTTACTTTCAAAGGTTTATGGAACAGGTCCTTATTTTTTTTTCTGAGTAGAGAAAGCCTACATTAGAAGTAAGAAATTTTTACTCTTCCAATATATAACTCTAACATTTCTTATTTTATATTTAACTTTGTGTAAGATAATATTTTAACATTTCATTCACTGTACCTTGTAAGAATAAGGGAGTAGTACTCGCAAAATAGATAGTATAATCAATGTCGAAACAAATTAGATGTTTTTACTAAATTTACAAGCTACTTTGTAATCATTCATTACAGCGACACAACGCGAAATCCAACTACCTCATGCCAACAATGCAAGTTATTTCATTTCACTTAAAAACAGAGAAAACAGTCAACAATAATGATTAATAGGCACATAATATACATTAATTGTTCCATCACTTTAACTAACGAACTTTTCTTGTTTCAGTATGTTGAGTGTAGTCTACTTTTTATGTTTGCTCTTAGCTATAATTGCAGGGATTTAAAAAATATATCAGCTATGCATAGCATGACCAACCTATAAGTCCGAAGATGCATGGTTCGCGGCCCGTAATTGTTAAAACGCGCTTCGCACTTTGGAGCAATAGGTTCGCTATAGGTGATTTCTAAATCTGACTATTCGGTCATATAAGCGTACTCCAAGAATTGGCAGTGGGTGAACTTTACCATATCTATCTTCCCTTTAGAATGGCTATGCCCAATTAGCTCTTATGTGGCTTAGCACGAAAAGTTAAAAAAGGAAGGGGCAGTGATTTAACCAATGTATCAGTTATAAACAAAGATCTAGCTAAAGCAGATTTGTTAAAAGTTAAAACAAAGAGTTAAAAGATAGAGACACGGTTGTTATTAGTGAAAATAGTTAAAACAAATAAGCAAAAATAAATATCCTGAGGAAATAAAATCGAGAACAGAAAGTATGAATAGTATTCGTTCAGAACATAAATGATTTTATTGTTTTTATGTACAGTCACAATACAACAGTTACAAACAGAAAAACCACAAATTTATTGAAGTACGTCTACATCAAGATGAATTATTGTTTTCTTATTACAACAGCGAGATATCAGCATGGAATAACTTCTTTGAAAAAAAAAACAAATGTTGTTTGGCACCTGAAGTGTGTGCTACAAATATACAATTGTGAATTTATCTCATCTTAACTAATGTCAGTTAAAGTATCCCCGATTTACAAGGTGTCGGTTTTTGTTTTGCCACTTACAAGATAAAATCCTGATATAAGTTCTCCTGAAGTTGGCATTGCAGAGAGCGTAACACAAAGGGTTCACTGTGCTGTTAATGTAACAGAGGTAATAAGCAAAATTCCACAAGCCCTCCGGAATGCACTCGTCATCTGCACAGTAAGATAAAGTTTTTACAAGTACTAAAACATTGTATGGTGTCCATGTGACAATAAATGCCAATAAAATTGCACTCAGAGTTTTGGCGGCCTTTTTTTCTTGCTTTCTTTCCTGCTGTTTACGTTTCTTCTTAGGCTTGGCCACTTGCTTGTGAACAAGTTTTGCGTTAAGTGGGAGTCGGAGAGCTTCGAGAGCTGACTCTGATGTTCTTAATGAAGAATGACGAATCCGATCGTGTCCAGAAGGAACTTTCTCGCTGTTTAAGGTCCCCATACTTTCCGAATTACTCACGTGCTGCAGGCTTGTCTCTGCTTGGAGACTTTCTTCCTCCAAAATCATTTTTATGGAAGCTTGTGATTCTCCATCGCCAACAGACGGGTATGTTGGTAAACGGATCAAAATGGTGTAGACCGAATCGGAAGAAAAAGATCGTGAGGTAGAGGATGGTACAGAATGGGCTGTCAGCATGTCCAAATTCCGAGGTCCATTTCTTGCTATAAGAGGGATTCCAGAGTCCATGCGGCGGTCTGACCGGAATGTCATAGAGGTGGTTCTAGAAGATGGTTGGATGTGAGTTTCAGTAGAGCCGGAGGTAACAATTCCAGGCGATCCATGGCTAGTACTGTCGTCATCTGGACCATCCTGCTCTCTGTCCACCTGACACCAAGATACGAGAGCTTGCTTCAGGATTCTGGAACGACATTTCTGTATTCGAGACGGCTGGCTGTGCTCTACACAAAGAGAAGTTGGAACGTAAGTGGTTTCCCGAGTGTCATCTGGTACACAAGAACCGGTTTCCCGAGTTTCATCTGGAACACAAGAACCGGTTCTTACTCTGAGATATTCTTCGTTTTCTGCCGGATCTTCGCTGGATGATGACTTTTTACTGTCTCTTCTTTTCTCAGCCTGGAGATGGGTAAGGTCTTTCTTCCGTTGTTCTGTCTCCTGCCAGATCCTCCAATAAAGAATACACATCACTGTCACGGGCAAATAGAATGCTGCGATTGCTGTTCCAAAAGTAACGTAGGAGTTCGTCTCCAGGAACTGAATGTGACACTCGTGTGCTTTTACTTTTCGTTGGCCCTCAATATACGGCCAAGCGTAGATCCAGGGTGGCCACAAGACAAGGGATATAACCCAAGCACTTGTAATCATGAAGGCTGCACGTTTAGTGGTTCGCTTAGCCCGATAGGTCAGTGGTCGAGTGACTGAAAAGTAACGATCGAAACTAATAATCAATAAATTCAGCACAGAAGCATTACTGTTGAGGTAGTCCAGAGCAAGCCACGTGTCACAGATCATCGTTCCCAGCGGCCAGTATCCCAATAACGTAAATACTGTGAACAAGGGCATGGAAATGAGGCCTATAGAGACATCAGCGACTGCTAGGCTTAACAGAAAGTAGTTACTGATGGTTTGTAACTGTTTATCGAGTTTGAATGAAATCATAACCATCACATTCCCTACAACAGTACCAAGGCTTAGCAATCCTGCGACTAGTGCTATCAAAATGACTTCGGGTAGCGAGTATTGTGATTCAGGTAGGTCTCTAGAGTCACTGTTATTTATCAATGAAGATACGTTGTTGTTCCAAGGCTCCGTAACATTGTAAGACTCAAGAAGTGTAGAAGCTGTAGAATACATCAGTACCTTAGATTGAACAGCTGGGTTCATTCTTTCAACAATCTTCCAACTGAGAGTCGCCATCTGAAGTTAAATTTTTATAGTTAAAATCAACATCTGCTTGTTTTCTCAATGAGAAATATTAAATGAAAGTTCTACAACAAGCATTAGGGTGCTGTTCCTGAAGATCATAGGAGAATGAAATTTTAAATTCTAACTTAGTTTTTGTTCTCTTTAGATTCACAGACCTTATGCTTATAAATAACACCTAAACTTGTAAGCTCTGTTCAGATATTGAAGAACCTAAGCCTTTAATTATTACTTCAGGTTGTATACTTTGTTGAGATGACGAAGAATCCAAGCTTTTAGATATTATGTCAACTTATGGTTCGTTGAGATTATGATAAACCCATGTTTTTTTATTACACGTTAACGTGTACGGCTATATTGATATCGTGACGAACCTTTGTTTTTATACCAAACTAACTTGTATGCTCTGTTAAGATCATGAAATAACTTAAGGTTTTTGATTCCAATTTGTATGCTCTGTTGAGACAATGAAGAAGTTAAGGTCTTTGATTCCACGTCAACTTATATACTCTGTTGAGATATGGACGAAGTTAAGGTTTTGATTCCACGTCAACTTATATACTCTGCTGCCCCCCAGTGGCACATCGGTATGTCTGCGGACTTACAACGCTAGAAACCGGGTTTCGATACCCGTGGTGGGCAGAGCACAGATAGCCCATTGTGTAGCTTTGTTCTTAATTCCAAACAAACAAAACAATATACTCTGTTGAGATATAGAAGAAGTTAAAGTCTTTGATTCCACGTCAACTTATATACTCTGTTGAAATATTGAAGAACTTAAGGGTTTTGATTCCACGTCAACTTATATACTCTGTTGAAATATTGAAGAAGTTAAGGTCTTTGATTCCACGTCAACTTATATACTCTGTTGAGATATTGAAGAAGTTAAGGTCTTTGATTCCACGTCAACTTATATACTCTGTTGAGATATTGAATAAGTTAAATTTTTTGATTTCACGTCAACTTATATACTCTGTTGAGATATTGAAGAAGTTAAAGTTTTTGATTCCACATCAACTTATATACTCTGTTGAGATATTGAAGAACTTAAGGTCTTTGATTCCACGTCAACTTATATACTCTGTTGAGATATTGAAGAAGTTAAGGTCTTTGATTCCACATCAACTTATATACTCTGTTGAGATATTGAAGAAGTTAAGGTCTTTGATTCCACATCAACTTATATACTCTGTTGAGATATTGAAGAAGTTAAAGTTTTTGATTCCACATCAACTTATATACTCTGATGAGATATTGAAGAAGTTAAGGTCTTTGATTCCACTTCAACTTATATACTCTGTTGAGATATTGAAGAAGTTAAAGTTTTTGATTCCACGTTAACTTATATACTCTGTTGAGGTATTGAAGAAGTAAAGGTCTTTGATTCCACATCAACTTATATACTCTGTTGAGATATTGAAGAAGTTAAAGTTTTTGATTCCACATCAACTTATATACTCTGTTGAGATATTGAAGAAAGTTTAAACTCTAAATTCAACGCAAGGTAATATGTTTAATAATTTTTGAAAACAGCTTCTACCCTCAAACTTGTAGTTATTTTCTGTTCTTACTGAAAAGTCCAAACACATACGCCATTTCTTATCATCCGTGAGGATCGTGTGGAATTTAATGTTCTAAAACACAAAAACAACAACATCGGTTTATGTTTATTCAAATTCAAATGGAACCGGCAGCTGTAGGTTGAACTTTGATTTCGTAGTTTTTTTCTATTCCGGACATTCCTGGTATTTAACTGGCCCTATTAGAAAATAGAAATAAAACAAGAAATATTTGAATTTGGCTAAAAAAACTAGTGCTCTCATGCACCTCTCCAACTGTAAGGAAGACAACGTAGTTTAGGTAATGTAATCAAATATAACTGTATAAAAATAAACTCAACTCCGGGACTTGTTAAAGCTCACAAATTGGATTCAATCCTAAAATGACTCATCATCAGTAGTTTTAGTAATCTTAATTAAGCTCTTTAGTTTTGAAGAATATGTGCACAAAAACTGAGGAATAAAATCACTGGAAGAAAGAAGCTTCAGAATAAACTCAATTTTTAAAATTTTACCAACAAATAATTATTAGAAACTACCCAGGAAAACTATTAGTAATCGATTTGTAACTTAACACGGATTTTATAACCAATATCATATATTAATGAAATAAAAAATACCTGTCTATTGTTATAACACATACATAAGTGTCTCTATCGTTATAACACAAACATATGTTCATAGGATCTAGTTTTCAATGAAATTTCATCTAAGATAAATCGTAGGCCAGATGACAGAAATATTTATATGGTAATGCTTATATAAAGACAAAATATGATAAATTCAATTAAAGGTACACTTTTATACATAGAGCGTGATATATTATATATTGAAATCCATTTTAATTTCACTCATTATGCAATATTAAAATATTACTTTATTTGCTGTGTAAAATCAATGTAAATATAAATGCGTTTTTCGATTTTTTATTGAATCGTATTAATATGTAAATATCCAATGCTTGTTTGTGTGAGGATAAATATTTTACGTTTGTCATATCTTGAAGTACGAAGTGCTGATACTCATATTAAAACAAAAATAACAAGATCTATAACTGCAGGCAACGTTTCGTTATTGTATTTGATGCTCAACGTTTCGGTCACTTCGGAAACTTGCAACACACACACACACACGATCAAGAATGAATGACAATAATACAAGTGACAACCCGTCAGAATTATTTGTATCCCTCATTGTATAAACTTCAGATTTCGGAAGGAGATTTGAGGCCGAAACGTTCAATATGAGGTACAATAAAAAAACCAGTTTCTGGATTATTGTGCTTCAATCCTTCCTGTTTTAATGATGTTTAAAACCCGGGTCTAAATGTTAGGCACCTTGTAAATTATAAGTACATAAGTTTTCAGTTCTACTGCACAACAGTTAATTTGTTACGAATTTATTCGTCCACAGTGCAATTAGTTTCCTTAAAAGTTAATGTTACTAGCAGTTCTTTTTCTTTTCTTAACCGAGGTTCGCTTGGGAGAGAAACGAGTCTGTTGATTATCAGTTAGACATCTAAAAGAACATCGATTCGGCAATGAAAGTGTTAATTTGTACTGAGATGTATTTTCTTTTACTACACGGTGTCATCTGGGTCGGTGATTCCGTTTAGTGATTAGCAAGAAATGTTTCTTCAAAGCCCCACTTGGTGGGTAAAGGTTAATTGGGTGTTAATGAGATTGCTTCTTTATTCTATATGTAGAAGGGGGCATCCTTTAATTGCCACGTTGTTATAAACTGGCAATTTCTAAAGTTATATCTTATGATTTTGGATATTCTTTAACATCAACCAAACTGATTCGCGATTGAGCTTGTCACGGACAGACACACACACACACACAAGTCGTTTTATGATACAGATACCAGACCGAAATTATTAACTAAGTCGAGGTAAGGACAGATATGCTACGTTGAACATAAAAAATACATAATTTTATGTAGCTGGTTTACGCTAGTTTTGTATTTCCACAAATCCTCGTTTATTTTAGGATAATTACAACAGAGTATAATAATAAAATGTCCGTTTTATATTGTTCCTTTTACAAACTGATTTTTTTAAAGAAAATATAAATTGCTTTATAATAATATAATATAATCTTCAAAGACTAAAACATATCTTTGTTGCAGAAGACCACAAACATTTTATATGTTTCGTGCATATAATAATCAAATTACAAGAAAGGTTTCGAGATCACTACTGTATAAACGAGCTTATAACCTATAATTTCCATATTAATTGGAAAATAAAAATACACTCAAAATATACAAAATGTATGAGGTTTTACAATTAATCCAGAACGTTAAAATACGTTATATTTTTAAATTCCAATTGTACGTACTCTCGAAAGAGAAATTGGATTTTAATAAAATATAGTCATATTATTTCACAACAGTAAATAATAATAATTGCATCACAAAATAATAAATAATAATAATACCGCAACGTGATATCAAACGAAATAGATTGAAGTATTTTCTCACCTTTTTTCATTTAAAAATTAATTCTTTATATATATATATATTGTTTGGTGCATAAATGAACTTCTTTAAGACACAGGAACAACAAAAAATTGGCCGCCACGATTTACTTTATTTGAGCTATTATTTTACGAAAGTGTCCGCTTATAACTGGCGAACCGCGCTTAACGGCTACACCAATTAGTAGACAAATACTTAGAGACCAATAATATTTGTCTTGTTCTGAATTTTGAAAATACTGATGTGTGGCTCAAATTCATATAGTTTAAATTTTATTTTTAATAATATTAATTTGATGTATATAATACGAAATATTTACACAAATAACCTTTAACTACTTATCTATAAACTTAAAGTTTTCTACCATTTTGTAATATACCACTGAATTTTCAACACGATATTTCGCGACTAATTTAAGAACATGCGAGAGTTTAGTCATATCAGAATGAGTTATCATAAGTTTAAAGAACGCCTTATTTTTTGACACAAGGTTATAGAGCTAATTTATTTAGATAAAATACATGTAACAATTTTAAAGGTTGCGTTTAATTTCGTTGCTCATTGGATATATATGTTGCATAGAAATAGAACAGACAAACAATATCTTGCCTGTTACAATATATAAAACAGACCGCGTATTTACCAATCCTAGTTCATTTCGTACTTGTTTTTATTTGATTTCAAGTATGATTCATAATTATTTACGAGCACCAGCAAGCATTGTTTTACTTAATTTATAGTAAATATATTCAAAACAAAGTTATAATTACTAAATTTTTTCATTGTTTTTCTTTTGTTCAAAATTTAGCTGTTTTTAAATGTGAACAAAGTGTAATGTATTTAGGGATTTTCGATCTTTATATTTCAGGTCAAATATTTAAATTAAATAGCGAAATGTAATGTTTAAACTCTGATGTAGCTTTTCCTGGGAATTACACATGAAAGTAAAGTTAAATATAATATTGTCAAGTATACTGCTGGTTATAAGTTTGAACTTGATTAATTCATAGTTTATATTATTTTTATCTTAAAAAGATAACATCAGAAGCTGACCGACTCAGTTTGTAGTAAACTATGGAGAAGTCGTGACGTCTACCAAGTACGAAATATTATGTTCCATAACCAAAACTATAAAAAGATTAGATATAAAAAATGAAAAGAGACATCAAAACTTTAGTTAAAGTCGTGTAAAACACGAATAGTAGTTCACAACTTAGTTAACGTGAATATTAACAAACAAGCTGAAGATGATAATAGCACATATACAAATTTTTGGTTATGATTTTAAAACAATTAAAACGCTTCAGAATTTCTTGATCTTCCTTTACTGTCTCAAAACTTTATACTATATTTTGCAAAGTATTACGTTCAAGTATTCTTATTTATTTATCATTGTTTCACGATTGATGCACGGATATAACAAAAGATTAGAAAAGTAGGCCTTTTTTACTGTTTTTCGTTCTGGTGTAGAATTATTAATGTGAGACTAATGTGAATGTGTTGTAAATTATACATATTAAAAGGAAGTTTTTGTGAAGTATAATTACAGATTTGTTTCAGAGCATCATTAATACAGCAATCGTATAGATTTAAATACTTCAAGTGATGTTATGCTTGTTTTTACATAACAAAATATAAATATTGCATAAGATACCTAAAATGTAAATAATTCATCCAATGTCAAGGATAAACAGTAGAAAAGCTACGTAAATTATATCTTTTTGAAATACAACAATAAACCTAAAAGATCATTAAAACATTGTTCGTCATTTATTTGTTTGAGTACTAAAGGTTTTGTTACTTTTAAACCAATGGTGAATAATAATTAGCTTAGATATCAAATTAAAGAAAGTTGCATTTGGAATAATATGTGACCAAATGTTACTTCACGGAAGAGATCTTGTAACATAATTCTCAGTCATGTTTTGAGAAGAGTTTGAATTAAAGTAATTTGTCTTAGAATGCAACAAGATAAAACAATATGTATTGCTAACCAAGTTTTTAATTTCTGAAATAAAAAACAACTTTGATTTTTTTAAATCTTAATAAGTATCGAGTAGTCTAAAGAGATCAATTCGATGGTGGATAATCATCATTGTTGTTTTAATTAATACATTTTGCAAAGAAAACAAAGTAGTATATAATTACAATATGTGAAGGAAAAAATTAAGACAGTAAGTTCAGTATTCAGGAGTTCTGACTCAGTCATCTGACGTAATAACTTCAAATTGATTAAGAATAACAGGGATCAGTAACTGCGTGATTCGATTAATTAGAAATGGTACTAATGATCCGATCAACTAGAAATGGTACTAATGATCGATCAACTAGAAATGAGTATTAATGATTCGATCAACTAGAAATGGTACTAATGATTCGATCAACTAGAAATGGTACTAATGATACGATCAACTAGAAATGGTACTAATGATACGATAAACTAGAAATGGAAATGGTACTAATGATTCGATTAACTAGAAATGGTACTAATGATGCGATCAACTATAAATGGTACTAATGATTCGATCAATTAGAAATGGTACTAATGATCCGATCAACTAGAAATAGTACTAATGATCCGATCAACTAGAAATGGTACTAATGATACGATCAACTAGAAATGGTACTAATGATTCGATTTACAAGATATTTTAAAATACTATATATGGTGACGTCTGATAGTTTTCACGTGATTTTTCATTTACAGGACTGATCGTATCATTAGCATCATTTCTAGTTGATCGAATCATTAGCATCATTTCTAGTTGATCGAATCATTAGTACCATTTCTAGTTGATTGGATCATTAGTACCATTTCTAGTTGATCGAATCATTAGTATCATTTCTAGTTGATCGTATCATTAGTACTATTTCTAATTGATTGAATCATTAGTACCATTTCTAATTGATCGAATCATCAGTACCATTTTTAGTTGATCGAATCATTAGTACCATTTCTAGTTGATCGAATCATTAGTACCATTTC